AAATAAAAGTTTACTTACCTTAATTTGTTGATCCTGCATGTGTGGAGACGATGTCCAAGTAGAGGCGCTCATCATCTTCTATGTTCTGTAAAAAGAAATAAAAATGAGATTTGATTTTTTTCACTTCTCCTACCCCCCCCCCCCAAAAAAACAAGTTTACTAACCTTAATTTTTTATCCTGCGAGTGCAATCGATGTCCAAGTGGAGGCGCTCATCATGCTCTATGTCCTGTAAAAATAAATAAAAACGAGATAAAGATTTTATTTTCAATTTACCTCTCCTCTCACTCCCCCCCCTCCCCAAAAAAATTTATTCACCTTAAATTGTTGATCAGGTGTGTAGTTAAGTTTTTTATTGACACAATACATCACAAATGCATGACAATACAAACAAGTCAAATGTACAGACAAAAAGCAGAAAATAAAAATGCACAAAATAGGATACTGTCAATTCTGATGCAATAATGCATTATGCTTAAATGCATACCTAACATCAATTTTTTAGTCTGCTCAATGGTTAATAAGGATGAAAGTAAAATGTGTTACAAGCATTAGACTGGGTTCCCATACCTAGATCAATTTAACAGGATCGATCCACCTCCAAGGGGTTTCTAACTAAATTGCTTTCAGCTTAAGCGGCTTGGGATTCTGGCGTGACAGACATCTAAGCCACTTACATTGATTGCAATTTAGCTAGAATCCCCTCGGAGACAGATCGTTTTACAGTTAGCACAATAGAGTCTGGAAATTGTCCCTAAGGCTTCAGGCTGATAAGATGTGACTTGCAAAGGTCTTTAAGCCAGCGGAAGTTCAAAGTCGCACCTTGAAAATGCCAATATGTAAAAAATTTAATTTTCACAAATAACTGCATAACTTCCAGAAAAATTAACCAATAAGACAAATTTTCCAAATACAGCTGTATCTTAGTCCAGTGTTTCTTTCCTGTAAGTGTGAGAAGAGTAAGTGACATGGTTTTCCTTTAATAGTCACTATGGAGGCAGTGCCCAAAATAGGGGTTTCTTCAATTTTGGTGCAATATTACATAATGCTTAACAGCATAATCACCATCAAATTTTAATATTAAAGTAAAAGTATCATGGATATTCAGAAAATGTGACTAGCCAAAGCCCATGGAATTTCAGAGTCTTCAAGGCTTGAAAATACCAAAATATAAGCAAGAGATAACTGTACTGAAATGTGTTTACTTCCATTATCAACACCCGTTTTACGTAAAGCAAAATATTCAATTGTGAATTTCAAGACAGTAGGCTGATCGGTTTACCTTGAAATGTGTTACCAGTGTTGTATATATGCTAAAAAAGCGCATAACAGCATAACTTTTATGAAAATGGCCTGATCATGCTGATTTTCAAACTTAACCTGTGTATTATGCAAATTCATCAGTTCTGTACGTTTCAAGCCAAAAGATAATACGGTTTTCCACTTATCGTGTTTTCGGTGTTGCATATATGTTGAAAAAGTGAATAAACAGCATAACTTGCATAAAAATGGCGTGATCATGCCGATTTTCGAACTTGACCTGCGTCTTATGAATATTTATCAGTTGTGTAAGTTTCAAGCCAAAAAGTAAAATGGATTTCTACTGATCGTGTTATCGGTGAAAGTGCACTGCGACGACGGACGCAGGTGACGGCTATATGTACAGACACATCTGTGTCTGTACATAAAAAGGGAACAACACTCAATCACACTAGAGAGAAAATGTACATCAGCCGTAGAAGAGAAACAGAACAAAACACGACGAGCGTGACCTAAATAGGGCATATGACTCTTGGTTCTAGCTCACGACCTAGAAATATGGGCGTAAGTATGAGAGAAATGAAAAGAGAGTATGACATGGTGGCACTTACCCATCTCCAGTAGCTTGGATTTCAGTCTATTGAAGATGAATTATCCTGTGGTGGTTATTTGACGTCCGGGTTAAGAGCTGCGTGTTATTTGTACATGTACATTTCCCAGAGCAACGAGTCCGCATGGATTGAAGAGTCGAATTCACGGAGACACACTATATTGGAGAAAGACGAAACATTCGGTGTTTTGTGCTAGTAAAGAAACTATCCTCAACTGCGATACATTGGCGTAGGATCACACGAGATTTAAAGGCGGTTCCCCAAAGAAATTCGTGCTCACTTCGCGTCCTTTGTTCTCCTCTGGAGTGCAACGCAATATGTCCATCATGCTGTTCTGTGTGCTATTAAGTTATTACACGTTCACAATTGCCCGCTCTTAGACTTCCAATCGTAGATTGTCGGCTGGGGGCGCTGCTGTCGTCACCATGCTGTCAGTTTGAACACGGGGGTGTCGTATGAGAGGGAGACCCAAATTTCATTATTGTATTGCATAGGCCTATACACCTACGTTTGAAATGCATTCAGCGTTTTCATACCTCAACTTTTTTGTATAAAATGAAACGAAAAACACGCATTTACTTCGGAGGGAAGAATCAATGTTATAATAGTTTTCGGAGGAAACCACGCATGCCTCTCCCCCAGTTATGTTTGACAGTATGCATCTTGTTGACGTGATATCAACCTGATGTTTACTAACCTGCCCCAGGCCATCATTGGACGACCTTGTCCGCGTACACTACAGGAACACTTATCCACAATATACACTGAACCACAGTGCACTTTGAAGAAACTTGCATTTCATTTCTTGCTTCACAGATTATGTTAATAAAGATAAAGTGATGATATATTTTTTGCTATAAACATTTATGTGGAGTTGTCAAGTTTTTTTGGTTGCTTTGATTTTGCAAGAAGAAAGGATAACGAAAAGATNTACTTTTTACATTTGCTTAAATATTTTAACTACTTCTTACATTTGCTTGAAAGAAGATGGCATGCAGGGCTCCTTAGTCACCCTTTTCACTGTTCAAAACTGGCATGGTTTTAAAAAAAATCGTGTATGTGTGTGTGTGGAGGGGGGGGGGGGTAACCTTCCTCAGCTCCTGTGATCTTTTGTTGTTTAATTACCAAAATAAACAGGTATGTAGTCGGAAAGGGGGGGGGTCGAACCCCAGATGAAGGTTGTCTGCTTAGGGCAATTTATGAGCTGTGTACACGGAGGTTTCATGGGAAAAGGTCAACTTTTTCAGGAAATGACACCCCTCCTTTGAAATGGCTGGGTACAGACCTGATAGTCTGCAATTTCTTTTTCCAACTTCTTTACTAATTTGTTGGATATAGAAAAAAACGTCACGTTTTGATAATCTACATCTACAATTACCCGAATGGTCTTTTATTTAAAAAAAAATTAACAAAAAGCATACAACCATATAATGAAGAGGACATTGTGCATTTTATCAGAAGACTGAGCCTCTAATAAGCAAAATAAAAAAGTACACTTTGAGCTGAAGATGGAGTTAAACAATCTGCCTCAATGGGTTTAGGGTTTAGCCTACTTTAGGGTTAGAAGTAAAAAAGTAAAAAGCCAAAATGATGAAATAACCTTAACGTGAAATTGAAGCATATTTTTCTGATTGGCGTGGAGTTTTCATTTTTACCACATGGGATTTAATGTAATCGATACTTAGACTACCTGTTCAATACCCGCTAGAGAGATATGCAGCAAGAAAAAAAGGCGGGGACATCGTGGGATATGGTGGCCAGACCATGGATAGACGGCAGAGAGTTACATGTGGTACCTCCCTCTGAAAATGGAGGTGAGGTCAATGATCTGATCCAGGATTATTTGAAGGGGGGGTCGGGAACGACAGGCCTCGAACGCGAAGCCGACCATCGCCCCTTGGCGTGGGGTTAGGGGCCTGCTCAAGGGCCTCGAAAAAATTTTTGGTGTTTTGAAGGGCAAACGGTGCCCTTTTGTACGGTTTAGAACTATGATTTAGCTAGTCAAAAATTTTATTTCAAGAGGGGAATATTGGTGTGATATATTTTTCAGAAACCGAAGGGGGGGAGGGGATACAGGACCCACCTGACCCCCCCTCTAAATCCGCCACTTTTCCGCATGGGAAGAGAAAGATAAAATAAAGTCTAAATAACTAGAAAAATGTCTTAGTTTTCACTCCTGCGTTTTTAACACCCCCCCCCCCCCTTCCCCTTGGTGTCGTGGGTCTGTTTTATTTTCAACTAAAAACATAATAACAAGTTTGCAACATAATTTTGTCCCTTTCTCCCTTTGTCCCTTTCTTTAGCTTTTCCCTTTCTTTGCAAACGAACCTAACCTACACTAGGAACGACATGGTCGGTCCTACACCTAATAACCCTCTCAAGGCTAATCTGGATTTGTGGATGAGGTTTGAAGAACGTGCTTTCAAAACGCCCCCTCCTACCTCTAGGCAGATTCCTTTGAAAAGGAATGTTACTGAAAATTTAAGACATAGATATATCATTCACGTTTGAAAATGTACAAAATTCATATTTTCAATGTCTGCATATGCTGAAAAATACTTATCTTCTTCAGTTCAGACCTCCATTCAATAATATTCCTCATACTCGATGCCGATATTCCTTCTTAAATGTACAGTCATATGGAACTAGCTAAATTACGGAATTAGAATTGGATCGAGCGATGATTTTTAAGTAGGAAAATTTGGACATTTATGTATCTATGAATTTAGAGTTATATAAACAATAATCCTTATTGATTGATTGATTTTAGATTCGATTTGGTGGAAAAATCTCGGATGGGGTACCTTTTAAATTCTATCTGGAACGAAAGTATAACAATAATTCTTAGAAAAGCGAGACAAGCATTATACTTAATTTAACCATGTCTGTCTAACTGACGACACATATTTATTTATTTATTTATTTATTTATTTTAGAGGGCAGTGTCTCAACCAGTCGTTTCTTGGAAAGGGGTCGTTTTGAAAACATCGCCGCCATGTACCTCCCTTTTCAAAGCGTGTATATCGTCATGTGACGTCACTTGTAATTACACTAAAGTGCAGATCGGCGCTGATAACATACAGTAGACATTAATATTTGATTTAAGCGCCATTTTCGCGGAAATAAACTCGTAGAATTAAAAGTATAAGATGGGGAAGGATAGTAAAGTGGATGACAGCGAAAATGCAGCTGAAAAATCAGAAGAGAAGAACAAATACGGTAAGTTTTGAAGACCTGCCTCGCAGCAGGTGTGATGCGATTGAGAAATCAAGTTGAAGTTGGTTTTCGCAGTGTTGTCGATTACGCCTCACTAGATGTAACTGCTAATTGATGTTTGAATTAAGATTTAACTCAGTTGAACTAAATACAAGTATTTAGCGTGGAATTATAACAGTTAAAATAGAAAAGTATGGCTGTCTTATATATATCGTTTTCGTCCGTCTTCGTCAGAGACATTCACTAAGAGAGGTTTTGTATACGGCTTGGAAACCTGAGATAATATAACATTGTAAAGTTGACAGTGATGTATGATAAATTTGCCCCCATTATTTCCAGTAGTGTGTCAGTGTTACTTAGACTGATTACTAAACATTGTCTTTTCAGCTTTGCTTAAATGAATTTATTGACTGTTGACAAGATGAATAGACGTATTACATAACTTATTCATAGCAATGCTATTGATCACCTAGAGTATTTATTGCAAAAGTGATTTAAAAAAAGCCATGTATATGAATATTTCAGCTTTCATATATGTCATTTTAACGGTCATGTAGAAATCAGGTCAGCAATTAAATTTATATGCAACTGTTATCTTTGACTGCATTCCCAGAGATTTAGATCAATCCATCTGTATCGACCTAACTCCCTGGGGGTTCACGCTAAATTGCTGTCAGCCGAGTGCGCACGAGAGTTAATTACCCCGTTACAGCTTTTAGTAGGCAGGACAGACATTTAAGCCGGTTAAGCTGACACCAATCTAGTGAGACTCCCCAGGGGGATAGATCGATCTAAATGTCTATGGGAATGGGGTCTTTGTGATAAGTTATGTGATTAAAACTAGACATACATAAAGTTCTGAATTGTTGGTATGTAGGAGAATGTTTTAGTTGTTATTTTTAAAGATCAGATACAGATCAGCAATTAAATTATGCAACTGTTATCATAGTGAAAAATAAATAGACGTCTGCTTTTTGGGTCTGTATATACCTGTTCAACATGTCTGCTTAAAACGAAAGCAGATATCCTTGAAGGGTAGCCGCACCCACATCTAAAATGGTACATACACTGTAATGAATAATTCATATAATTTCATTTCAACTTCCTGATTTTGGCCAAGATTAAGATAAGCTTTGTTTATCCTGTATCCAGGCAACTGACAGTTATTTATTGGTCAGTTTATGTGTCTTACTACATATCTTATCTCAGCTGCATTCAGTGCTGTAACATAGATGAATAGATTTGGTTTTAATGCTGATAAACACAGAAGCAGAGACAGCCCTCTAGGCTGTTTGCATGTCAACCCCACTCTCTACCAGGGCGACAGATTGGTTTTTCACGGATATTCACAGATATGTCTCTAGATGAATAGACAGTCATTTGGCTCAATGTCTGGATTTTTCTGTTTTTCCCTATACTAAGGGAAGAAGAGTATAATCTGCCACCCTGGTAGAGGGTATCAACCCCAAATAAAGTCTTCAGCACTATCTTGGCTATAATCTGGAAGATCGTGTAGATATTGCTTGATTCCATACTGCAACTTGTTGTTCATAAGGATAGTGACCAGATATTAAAAAAAATTAACATTCTCCAGACAGAACTTCTCAGAGTGTTTGTATAATGTGAATTTACTTACTTATTTAAAGGAAAAATAAAATGAAGCAAAAAAAAAAAAAAAAACAAATCAAGAACTATTTAGATTAATTATTCCTTGCAAAAAATCTGAAACTGATATAAATTTATATTTTTTGTATGTGATATTTAAAAGATTCTTATCACTAATTCAGTATAAATATAGTAAAATTTGGGTAAAAAGACATGTTATATCAAATCATATGAAATAAACATATATATATATATATTGCGTCTTATTTTTAGATTATGTACAATTCAGAAGGTAAATAGAAGTCACAAGGCGTAATCCAATGTGATCAGAAACACAACCAACATTTAATGAAATATTTAATGCAACCCATTTCAATATTCATAATTCAAGTGCATATCTGCATCAGAATCTAATAGTAACATAGCAGCTAGTGTCTAATTTGAAATGAAAATACAAAAGGAGGACAGAATTCCACTCTTAGGTAAGCAATATTACTTTAATAATACTACATATTTAGTCAAGGAAGTTTTCCAGTTTGTATTTTCCAGTTTGTCTGTCAACACAAAAAAATGATTAATACAAAATTAACAGTCCAAATGTGATTGGGCTTTTGTGAAGGTACAAAATCCACCACCTGTTAGATTTACCAACACGAAATGAACAGTTTTACAAGCTACAAAGTGCTGGGATATTTGAAGTGCCAAAACTAAGAACAGTGAGAGTTTCAAGGACTTTTATTTCCTGGAAAAGTGTCAACTTTTAAGTAATTTTATGATATTACCAAAAACATCCAAAATTTTAATTCTAATGCAGTTTTTGAAAATGTATTATAGAAAATGTTGTAATATCCTATGTCTCTTCTTTAGAATTACCATTTTTTAGTATTATAAATTTACGTAACTTTTCGTTACAAATGTTTATAAAAATAATTATTTAAAAAAGATACTAGTACAGTTGTCACATCACATACAGTAGTTCACATTACTTTATGGTAGTTTACCTTTATAATTATTATTATACCATACAGCAATAAAATTTTTGAGAAACATAGATACAAGAGCCATTAACAAATTGTCTAGTTGTCTGGGTGTTATCAGTGATAAATAGGTCAGTTGAAGTAAATTGGAACAGGTACAGGTACCTGCTGCTGATATCATATACCCCGTTCACACTATGCTCAGTTATCCGGATAAATTGCGAATTAGGTCACAATTCGAATAAATGCAGTAGTGTGAACGCAAGAGGATTTTTGTAATGCGCATTTTCAAAATCCTGCAAGCGAGGTGGATTTCTAAGCGCGATCCGGATAACTTACCGGAATCGACACCTGTACAGATCTTACTGCGCATGTGTGCTGATAAGTGCGGATATCTATGAACGCTTGTTTATTACTTTAGCGATTGCACCAAACGTATTTGGAGGTCACCACTCACTACAACATGAGGAAACAAACTTATTTTGCCACCTTATACTTCTCAAGAATGCTGGAATGTCTTCTGAGTTGCATTTGTCGTCACAAATTTTTGTTGGTATTTTAAGATTTCCTGTGCGGCGCATGCGCGAGTGTTCAAAACAGGAAGTTAAACCTGAAATTTTCAACATGGGATTCGGATTCGCTTAGCGAGTGTGAACGCAATACCGAATCGGATTCCTTACGAAAAATCCGAATTATAGAAATGCGCATTTTGGTAACTGTAGTGTGAATGGGGTAATATACTGCTCTACTGGCAATGTGTGAACGCCCCACTTTATGTTTGAGACAAACACACACAGTTTATCACATCGTGACAAGAAAAATAATTTATACTACTTAAAATCAAGAGAACATTATCAGAGATTAATGAGCTGAGCTTGTTAAAAAAATAGTGCCCTCATTTTGAGTCACGTAGGAAAATAATTGAAGAAGTAAATAATGTAAAATATATTTTAAGGGACACTGGCTTGCTAACGTGGACAAATGACTAAATGTTCATAAAGACTTGGATGATTATAGTAATTAAGAAGATATTGTACAAAAGTTTAAAAAATATAGTGATTTATGCTAAGAAAAAGGATGATTATAGTAATTAAGAAGATATTGTACAAAAGTTTAAAAAATATATTGATTTATGCTAAGAAAAACTGTACATCATGTGCTTAAGTCTGCAAAAACAAATTACAATGGTGCAGTTAAAATACCATGATATTTACTACTAAGCTAATGTCTAACTTTCTGTATTCTGAATATATATGAGACTGAAATTTCTGTTGACAGACGAAGGTAGATATGAGTATAGGATAATGGTCTATTTTGAACTCAGATGTAGATGTTTTGTACATGTAGTTTTTCAAAATTTCATATTTCTTGTCAAATATTTTAATTGCTGTAAAAAGCAATGAATGGAGCTGAAGGAAAATCTGAAAAATCACTTGTTATTAAGCAAAGAGTAGTCCTTGTGTGAGGAAAAAAACCTCTTAACATCATCATAGAGGCAGGGAAGTCAATGTCAGATGATCATGGCACATGGCATATCTTTGTGCTCAGGTGTGCTCTGCAGATAAGACATTGGCATGAAGAGATATGACTCAGTGTTCCCTGGTTTCTGTTGGTATAATATTGGATTGAGACCCATTTCTTAACAAACTGAGCTGCATGTTGTAGAAAATCTCTTGTATAAAACAGAAGGGCATGATACAACTGTTGGTATCGTGCCATATTTGTAGGGAAAGTACCCAGTCTCACTGTTGTGACAACTATCTTGTTTTAATTGTAACTTTCAAGAATATTTTAATATTTATTAAAATGCCAGAATGAGGTTAAGAGCAGTGTTTCATGCATTATTTTGGCAGTGATTTAAACCCAAGCCCCCAAATTGCATCTCTCACTTCCTCTTTCTCTTTCAAACACAGTTACGCTGGGACACAAACAAGCAAGCATGTACTGTACTTGGGCACCCACACACACACATAAAATAATTTTATGTCGAATATATATTATTTCTTTTAAGTTTTTTAAATATTGTGTATACTAGTAAGTGATAAACTTGTATATTGTGTATACCTGATGTCTACAAAAGTAACATTGTATATCCTTGATATACCTGTACAGTACACTTTATGTACCTGATGTAGAAATACCTGAACAGTCATATTTCACCTGATTAGCTTGGCAATATTCTGGTATGTATGCAAATGTGTGTACTAGTATGCGTACATTCATGCATGTTTGTGTGTGTGTGTGTGTATGTGTATGTGTGTATGTGAGAGAGAGAGAGAGAGAGAGAGAGGGGTCAAAAATAAAGATATGGCAGTAATTTCAGAAACACAGTATCAGTTTAGGTAAAGTGGAATACTACGGCTTTGAATGTCTTGATTACATCATAAAACATTTGCATTTGGGATTTAGTGACAAAGTGTA